AAGCAGCACCCAGCAGCTCCACCCTCAGCAAGACTAGTGCTCAGCAGCTGGCCTGAAGACCCTGGAAGCCGCACAATTTCCAGGCTGTCCTTGGAACCCTGCAGGTCCCATTCCTGATGGCACCTGGAGCCTCCATAACAAGGTTAATGTGGTTCATACCATTTCCATCCAGGAGTCTTGAAATTCCTCAACAGCCAAAGGGACTCTGGTGTCCTCTCCCAGACATAGGCAACTCTAACTAGCCAGTCTCCCTCTGGTCTCCACTACAGAAACCTGGAACACCCATTATGCCTTTCCTTCCTTCGGCTGACTTGTTTATTTGTTTATTCATTTATTCTTATTTCAGTGCTGGGATAACACCCAGAACTTTCCCACATGCTAAGCAATGCTCTGAGATAGCCCACCACTGCTGGCCATCTAAAAGAGAAAGTTTAGGTTAAAAAAAAAAAAAAAAAAGCCTGGGAATCCTCTTAGATAGAAAACTGTACCAGGAGGAAGCACTAGGGAGCATGAATGAGGAAGCTGCATCCTTGGGTGGCTTAGTAGACTGGGAAAGGTGGTGGGGGGGGTGGAGAAGGAGGTGGTGGTGGTGGAGATGGAAGTGGGGGTGGTGGTGGGGGGTGATGGTGGTGGAGATGGAGGTGGGGGTGATGGTGGTGCGTGGCGACAGCGGCAATGTTGAGACTAACTTCCCAAAGTCTCACATGAGCAGGCTCACCTCCTACATACACATGCTCACCTTCTCTAACAACCCACAGAGGACAGCGCCCAGGGCTAAGCTGCTAGCCTCTGTCTCTGCTTTTCCCAGAGATCCCTAGAGGAAAGTTGCTGGGAGTCACCGCTTATCCAATCTAACCTTTAGAAGGGAGGAGACAACAGATACATTTTTATAGAATCAAGGGTCACTTCCACTAAGGTGGCCTCTGCTGACTGCCACCTTTCCTAGGGTCAGACTTGGCCACTTCCTCCTTGCCACCCTTCTGTGTACATGCTCAGCCTTATGCATAAGCAGCTGTGACATCTGCATCAGGGCTGTGCTTCAAGGTCATGCTCTACTCATCCAACCCCTTCATGTCCAGCACTGTGCCTGGCCCTTAGTCAGACTTCTCTGCTATTGAGGGAATGAGTGAATGGTTCAGAGAAGTTTGGAAACTGACAAAACCCAAGTCCGGCTCCTCAAACAGATGTCTGTTTAATGGATAGTTTATACAGAAGGACAGGTGACAGCGGTATGAGAACTAGGTGCTTCTCACAGGCCTGCTGAGTGATTTCTGTCACTTAGGCCAAGTCTCTCTCACACTCTGGTTTACCCTTCACCCCCTTGAACGGCATTCATCTAATGGCTATAGGACAGATGAAAAACGTTTGCAAATTCTGCACACACCTTGTGAGAGGGAATCCCAAAGGTTGTCTCTCCCCTGGGGCCTTAAAACAGGCCACAAAGAATCTAGGACTCAGACCCCGATCTGTGTGGGGGAGAGAACAGATGGCTAGTCAACTCCCTCGGATTTCCCTGGAGACAAGCAGCATGTGGACACAGTTGACGGATGACCTGATGGGCAGGGCGGTTGCCAGTAGCTGTCCCCATGGAGCTAGTGTCATCAGGATACCCCACCCACAGGCTTGAGGATGCGGAAAGACTCTTGGCATGGAAGTGGAGTTGGAACCAATGCCAAGATGATGAGCAGAAGAGGAGAAGATAAGCTGAGGGCCCCAGGAGAGTTGGCAAGCCTCCCCACTCAGCTCCTGGGGTCTGTGTCAAGAAGCTGGGCTCTCCCTGCTTCTTGTGCATAAATCCTCACCACAACACGATGGGGAGAAGGTATACAGATTCTTTCAGCCCCATGGGTCTTATTGCGCTGTTACATTGCTTCCAAAGTCGCATAGGCATGGGGTCCCCTATGGTGTCCTCTGTCAGATCTGTTAGGCTAAAGTCTGGGGAAGATGTCCTCTGAGCACCAGCTGGGCTTGTCCCATGGGGGCCAGAGCAAGCCAGACTTCAGGGATACCAGCTGCAAGGTGGATGCTACCAGTACCTCCAAGCTAAATCATCCTCTTCCCTGGGGATGGGGTAGCAGCAGCTAGCTGGGAAGAGAAAGTGACTGGGAAATGTGAGATACCTGAACTATAAAGAATAAACACAGTGGCATCTGGGATGCCAGGCTCAGGGTCCCAGAGGCCTGGCTGTGGTTCGGCAGGGAGCTGGCAACAATACTCCGGGGGATTTACGCTTAAAGAAGAAAATTCCATCTGTTAAAAGCAGTATTGGCAGAGGGGAAACTAGACAAGCATGGCAGTATATTATAACCTTGGTTCTCAGATAAAATGCTTCCCTTTAACTTCTCCCTTTAAATCACAGTCCCTTGAGTTTAGTGTAGCTAGGTGGACAACACAGAGAAAATGCTCAATGTGTATCTCTCTCTCTCTCTCTCTCTCTCTCTCTCTCTCTCTGTGTGTGTGTGTGTGTATGTATGTATGTGTGTGTGTGTTGTTTGCTTTTGTTTTTGAGACAGGGTCTCTCTACATAGCCTTGACTGTCCTAGACAAAGCTGCCTTAAAACTCACAGAGATCCACCTGCCTCTGTGTCCCAAGTGCATGGAGATTACAGGCATGCACCAGGGCACCTGGCCTTTCTTATTTTTTGTAAGATTTATTTATTTTATTTTATGCATATGGTGTAGGAGCATTTTCCCTGCATGTATGTATATGCACCTCAGTTTTCCTGGTGCCCCAGGGAGCCAGAAGGATTCTGATGAGGGATCCCCTTCTGTATGCTGTGAATATATGTTTCTCTTATTGGTTGATGAATAAAGCTGTTTTGGCCAATGGACAGGCAGGATTTAGCCTGGCAGGAAATCCAGAGATACAGAAAGGTTGTGGGTGGAGTCAGGGAGACGCCATGTAGCTGCCAAGGAAGCAAGAGAGCTGGGCATCACTGGTAAGCCAAGAACATGTGGAGATACACAGATTAATAGAAATAGGTTAATAATTAAGAGAGAGCTAGCCAATAAGAAGCCTGAGCCATCAGCCAAACACTTTATAATTAATATAAGTCTCTGTGTATTTATTTGGGACTAAACAGCAGTGGGACAGGGCAGACAGAAACTTCCATCTATAGGATTCAGATCCCCTGAAACTAGAATTACATTTGGGAGTAAGCTACCATGTGGGTGCATGAAACCAGACCTGGGTTTTCTGCAAGAGCAACAAGTGCTTCTAACTGCTGCACCATCTCTCTAGCCTCCTCTTTTTCTTCTTATTTATTATTTTTAGTGTGAGTACAGGTAAGCATGTGGAGGTCAGAGGACACTTTTTAGAAGATGGTTCTTTCCTCTTGGACCAGGGAACCAAACTCAAAGCTGTTAGGCATGAATGGTAAGTACATTTACCTACAGAGCCATCTGGCCCTCAATGTGTACCTCTAGAGCGAGTAATTCCAGGTTCCTCTCTGGATTACACATTTGCATCCTCCTAGCCACTAACCTCCCTTCTGCAAAGCTGCCTAAATCCAACCAGCTCCAGTATAAAGGAAGGCCTGATGAAACACAAATCCAGTGTGTCTGCCGAAGTCTGGCCTGCTTCTCTCAGCCGCCTCTGGGCCCAGAATACTGCAAGCGGGAGCCATCAACCCCAGCATCTTACTCCCCCTCAATGGGAGCCGGGCTCTGCCTCTGCCTGCTTCCTTCCCTTTCTGACTTTGGCACATCTGGCTAGTCACTTAATGCTGAAAGGTCCCAGGCAGGTCATGCACTGCTCAGGCTGCAGGGCATAGATCTGGACAGTCCTAAAACACAAAGCTGGATAAGAACAATGACTAAAGGCCACCTTGTCCTTCATACACCATGTCCTCACAGGACTGTTAAAATTCTTTCATTCTCCCTGTACCAAGAGATCCCCAAGGTCAGAGGTTTTGATGCTCCATTGAGACCTACCCATGCATTTGCTCTGAATGTCTGCTCTCATGCCTTCCACATGGGTTTTTCATGGAGATCACAGAGGGTGGGTCTCAGGGACATTCAGGATGCAAACTGTTTCTGCAGTGTAGGTAAATCTAACCTACAGTCATGGTTTACAGGTTCTTTCCGACCCAACTCCTGGTATCTCACCTGCTGTTCAACACCTCCCTCACTCAGGGTGAAAGGAAAGCCCTGGCAGAAGTCATCTCCCCAGAACTGTAACCATGACAGCAATATACCCCCAGATAGCCATGATTTTAAGTCATTTATCATATTGTTTCCACCTCTGAGATCTAAACAACATGGACTTCCAAACCACCCCCCCCCCAAGACAGGGTTTCTCTGTGTAGCCTTGGCTGTCCTAGCTCCCTCTATAGACCAGGCTGGCCTCGAAATCACAGATCTGCTTGCCTCTGCCTCCTAAGTGCTGAGTTTAAAGGTGAGCCACCACCGCCTTGCTGAACTTCCTATACTTTGATGCTCACATACTCTCAGATTTGGAAGTAGCACCTGTTAACTTCCAATTTAGGGCTCAGGAAATATGGTGGCCCCTCACCAAGCCCCTAAGCTATCTCTATATGATGGAGCTGAACACTTCCTCCCCAACTACTCACGGCATCTCACTCCTCTTGATAGTGCCAGGGAAGCGGCTGAAGTTCAGGCAAAAGCTGATCTTAACCAATGGCCTTGTAAAGTCATAAGGCTGAATTCAGTCACGTCACTCCAAAAGGATATTGGAGAGAAGCATCAGACCAGGAGGCCTAGCTGAATTGCTGAGGGCTTTGTCCCAGTGACCTTTTGGGGGGTTGCCTTCAGTATCTTGACAAGGCAGCGAAGAACAAAGTGTGACTGTAATGAGCATCTAGTGTAGGGCACCCTCTCCTGGGGTGGCGCCTCCCTATGGGCCTATCTTTGCATTTCCTCACTTGCTAAGTTCTGCTCACCGCTCCTGGGTACCCTCAGCGGCCTACTCAAGTACACCAAGGAGAGATGTTCACATGCCCACTCCCTTGCTCACCCCTGACACCCAGGGAAGCACTCACATCAGCCGGCTCCCTGCGGTGTCCCTCGCCAGTCCGCAGCCAGCTCCGGCTCAGCTCGCTAAGCTCAGGAATGGGCTGTACCTTGAGCCGCACACTGTCCCCAGACTGCCGGATCATCTCCACAATTTCATCCCTGGACTTATTCTCCACATTCTGTCCGTTAATCTCCACCAGTCGATCTCCTGGCACCAGCCCCAAGGCGAGGTCCTTGGTGCCTGCACCTGGCTCAGCAAAGTGAACCACCCGTCGATAGGCCTGACCCTCAGGGGCCCGGTCCAGCATGGTTGTGCGCCTAAGCGAGAAGCCAAAGTCTCCTGTGGGTCGCCGTTGCAACGACAGCTCCCGGAGAGCAGGAGGTGGTGGGGGCACCACAGCGGGGAGACGTAGGTCAGCTGGGAATCTTTTAGTCACCAGCTCAGGGACTCGAGACCGTGGTCCTGGTCGAGGAATGCCTAGCCCAGGATGCTGCATTAGCTGTCCCTCAAGCGTCCTCACCTCTACCTGAGGTGATGGGGCTGCAGAGTGCTCTGAGGGGGTGGAGGTCTCTGAGGCACTCTCGTCCCTGCTCCGCTGGGAAAAGGAAAAACGTTTGACAATCATCTGAGAGTTCTGTTTGGCCAGTGAGCCGAACTTGGCTGCGCGCTGCAGCACAGAGCCCCGGAAGCTGCCTTCCTCACCCTTGAGGTCATCACTGGAGCTGGCTGTGCTTAGGTGGCCTGAGTCCAGGATGATGCTGCCCCGATTGCTGTCGGAGTCAATGTCAGTCAGGTGCAGGTCAGAGCTGCTGGCCACCTTGATAGGGATGGGGTTGGAGATTTCCAGGCGCGTCTTGGATTCACGCTTGGAGGACCGGTTCAGGTTGAAGAAGCCTCGGCGCATGCTCATCTCTTCCAGGCTCCGCAGTTCTGCGGCTGACATCCGCTCCTTCTTCTCCTTTTTCTCCTTCTTCTCCTTCCGCCCGCCATCTTTGTCCTTATCTTTCTTCATGAGGTTAAACATGGTGGGTGTGCTGTTTTTAGGGGTTGAACCCCCAGCAGATTATGGATGGTTAACACAGCGTCTTTGGACCCCACCTTGCAGCTGCAAGTAGAAATAGAGAAAAGCTATTCAGTCTTTTCCAGTTCAGACAGAAGCAGCTGATGCTGATAAAACAGTCACCCCTCATCGAGCGCTAATGATGTACCAGTCACTCTGATTTACATAATTTTATCTAACTTCACTTCACTCTTTAGACCAAAGTGTAGGTGAACCTGGAGAGACTTGGCCTACAGAAAGCCCTATGGCAACCTGGAGCCCAAATGAAGAACAGAATACAAAAGGAAACAGAAGGGTCTCTGCAACATCACCTCCCCACAAACACGTCCACTGAAGCAATGGATATCCCACTTGACTGGGCTCTTTCCTATGCCTGGTATCCCCCGAGCAGCAGCCATGAAGACTGCAACTTTTAAAAACAATATTCATTTCTATGAGTGTTTTGCCTGCCCGCCTGCACCACATATGTACCTAGAGCCACAGAAGACAAGAAGGGTGTGGGATCCCTGGTACTGGAGTTACAGACATTGTGAACCCCCTCCATGTGGATGCTGGGAACCGAATCCAGGTGCTCTGCAAAAACAAGAGCTTTTAGCCACTGAACCTGGGACCCAGCATTATCTGATGTCTCATCGGGACTTCACACACACACTCCCTCCTATCCAATCCTCGCAGCACTCCTGCGAGGCATATGTCTTCATGCCTGCTTCACAAATGAGAAACAATACTCTTAGGAAGTTAAGGATATGTTAGGTGTTGTCCATGTAGTAAGTGGCAATGCTACTGTGTCCCTGGGTGCCCAAGGAAAAGCAGGGAGGGAAGGAAGGGGAAATCCCAGACTGCACACACAGGACAGACAGTTGTGGGGTGGGGGTGGGGTGGGGTCAGCTAGATAAACAGGATCCTGAGAAACTCACATCCTTTTCCCTAGACCAACACCTAAATATAGCCGAGGGAAGAAAGTTGTGGTGGCCCAAGAGAAAGATCCAGCTCCAGGATGTGAGCACCTATGGCCCCAACTACCCCCACTCTCATGCATACCCAAATGGGGGCAGGACTTAGGAAACCTGGTAGGGTTGGAGCTCCAGCAGGGAAAACAAAATAGAAGTAGGCCATGCAATCTAATTAGAAATTAACTGTAATTTTTCTCTCTCCATGAAAACCTCCCCTCTGAATTCCAGACAGAGGATCTATGAGCTCCCCCCCTCCAGTAATGGCCTATTGCCAGGTCCTGGACAGGCATTTCCTCTCTCTACCCCACCCCCACAGCCAGGCAAAGTCCTGCAGTATCCCCATTCCACTGACAAGGACCAACTCCCCCCAACCAAGGTTCAATGCCCAGGAAGGCATTAAGACGAGGAACTCCCAATGGCCCCGTGCACTGCCTAATTGCTTTCCCTCTGCAAATGACCCTGATCCATATGGTTCCTTGAAATCTTCCTTCTAAAGCCGTACTATCTATAAGAAATAAAATCCAAATTAACACATATATATGTATATACATCTTTTTTTTTTAAACTAGCCATATTTAAAAAGATAAAAAGGAACACATGAGGAGTATGGAGAAATGGCTCAGCAGCTAAGAGCACTGGATGCTTTTCAGGGAGACCCAGGTTTGATCCCAGTACACACATGGCAGCTTACAATTAGTTACAGGAGACCCAATGGCCATTTCTGATCTCCATGGGCACCAGGCACATATGTGGTATACACACATACATGCAAGCAAAACACCCATACACATAAAATAAGTAACAAAAAGAAAGAAATAGGTGAATTTGGGCAGGGCAACACATACCTATAATTCTAATCAGGTGGAAGGCTGAGACAGAATCTTAAATTTGAAGCAAATTTGGACAGGAAATAGAAACCTTGTTTCAAAAACAAACTAGATAAGCTTAAGATTATTAATTTATTTCATCTGGTATAATATATCCAAACTGTTGTCATCTCAACATATAATCTCCATAAAAACATTGAGATATTTTTATATTCAATTTTCCATAAATGGTTCTGTTTTGGTCTCAAAATAAATAGAGTTCTGGTATGGACTTTACATTTAGAGCACAATTCAATTCAGACAGACTACATTTCAGATGGCCAGTCCAGGGCTGCTGGAGGGGCCAGTACAACTCTAGAGAACTCTAGCAATAGAATGTATCCTGGTTAGTTTTTTATCAACTTGACACAAGCTAGAGTTATCTGGGAAGAGGAGAATCAACTGAGAGAATGCCCCCATCAGATAAACCTATAGGGCATTTGCTTGATTAACGTTTGATATGGGAGGGCCAAGCTCACTGTGGGCCACACCTAGCAGGAGGTCCAAGGAGGTATAAGTAGGCTGAGTCAGCTAAGAGGAAAAAGCCAGTAAGCAGCACTCCTCCATGGCCTCTACCTCAGTTCCTGCCTCCAAGTTTCTGCCTGGAGTTCTTGCCCTGACTTCCCTTCAGGATCAACTATGAAAACCTTTCCTTCCCAAACTGCTTTTGGTCATAGTCTTTATCACACCAAAAGAACACAAACCAGGCTGGGCGTTGGTGGCGCATGCCTTTAATCCCAGCACTCCGGGAGGCAGAGGCAGGTGGATCTCTGTGAGTTCCAGGCCAGCCTGGTCTACAGAGTGAGTTCCAGGACAGACCCCCAAAACAATACAGAGAAACCCTGTCTTGAAAAACCAAAAATTAATTAATTAATTAATTAGCTAATTAATAAGAAAGCAAACCACTACAGAATGTATTCACAGGGGTAAGAAATCTGGCTTGGTCATTAGCTAACTCCTTATAGCTTGTAGCAAGAACCCATTTCCCTCTCTGACTGCAGTTTCTCTGTGTGAACACTGGTGCATACATGTGTGGTTGTATGTGTGCATATGGAAACCAGAGGCCAGTCTCAGACAGGTCTTTCACTAGCCTGGAGCTCGAAGAGTCAGCTATGCTGGCAGGCCACTGAATCCCAGGGACACACCTGTCTCTGCTTCCCAGCAACAGGGTTACAACCTGTACCACCACCATGCCCCACTTGTTTTTCATTTGTTTTGTTTTCTGTTTTTTAACATGAGTCCTGGGAAAAGAACTCAGGTCTTCCTGCTTACAAGGCAAGCCCCATTACCAGTTAAGCTATCTCTCCAATTCATCTAGCCTCAGTTTCTCCTTGGTAAAACTGAAATTTTTTGCTTCTAAATGTTCCAGTTAACAGTCCCTAGAAGCTGGAAGACAGGAACCATAAACCTCTAAAAGCACCATTCAGGAGCACTCTTGGTCAGTGGGAATTCGGGACAGCCGGCACTTTCTAGGGGGAATATCTCCTCCCAATGCTGATGGAATAAGGCACAGATCCATACTATTCCAGGCTATGGGATCTTGGCTGGTTACCACCCACACTGCCCTAAAGGGCTGATTTAGATGATAACTCTGGTATAACTGGAGAAGAAAATAAAAACAAATGGAAAACTCTTAGCGACTTAAGAGGGAACAAACAAGAGTATCCTAGCCACTGCCCAACCACAGAAAACCCAACTGTCAGCCATGCTGTCCTTACCCAATCCTGACTTCGCTGGGGGTTAGATAGCTGAGTGCTATCAACGGACAACAGTCCCAAGATTCTAGAATCTTTGAACTGGAAAAGTCCCTTCGAAGTAATTTCATGTAAACCTCTCTCTCATCCTTAGCTTGTCCCTCACTGTCACTCCAACAGGCAGGACCAGAAGGTAAGCACCACAGGGGACAGCTCTGACTAAAACTGTTAAGGATCTTGTATTTAGGCCTGGATTTGCCACAGATCTCCAGGGGACCTTGAGCCTGTCACTTTGCTCAAGGTTGAACTAAATGATCTAGACCTCTTCCAGATCTAAAATTCCAACAGTCCAAGTCCCTTGTGGACACAGTTAGCTATTAACTTTCTGTCAAAGACACTCCTCTCATCACAAACCCAGGGCCTTCAGAGGCTGCCCTGTGAGCCGCTTACCACTCCTGTCCTGCTACTATTATCTGTACAGCTCACAAGGCAGCCTTTCCCCACAGCCAGCCCCATGTGGTCGGGCCTGGTGTGATCAGGTCACTCCTGAGCCATGTGTCTACCACTGCCTGACTGTCCACACCATCCCTCTCCAGAACTAAATTTACAGAGCAGCTGCAGCTGCTGCTGTACTCCTCAGCCTTGCTCAGCTCACTAAAAGAGCTGGATTCCATACCCTTTTCAGAGTCCTTGGACATGCCAACCTCCACTGTCCTCAGACACAAACCTTCAGCAGCTCTGAAGTCACCACCTCCCAGATCCTCATTCTGGTTCCAGTTCTCCCACCCCACCCCCTCAGGCTCCTTCCTCTCTTGCCCTCTCCCTTTCTTCCAGTGACTTTAACCTTCTAATCATCCTGACTTCTTTCTCTAACTCTCCAGACCAGGAAGCTTTTCCTAATATTGACTGGAGGAAAGGTATGTCACTAAGTTATCTTGACCCTCCTGTTCCAAGGACAATCTATCAACTCAGCTGCTTTATCACTTTAGGACAGGGAGCCTCTTGAAGGCAAGTCACTCAACTCAAATGTGCCTCCATTGGCCCAAAGCACAAGAATAAACAATATACATATCCTTAAAACTGAACACTACTCATGTAACAAGCGTGAATCTCAAAAACATTTGAAACAAGAAGGAAAGAAACCATTGACAAAAGCATACACATTAATATGATTGTTTGCTCATATTTTGTTTTGACAGGGATTCTCTGTGTAGCCCAGGCTGTCCTGGAACTCACTCTGTAGACCAGGCTGGCCTCGAACTCAGAAATCACCCTGCCTCTAACCCCCAAGAGCTAGTATTAAAGGCATGCACCACCACCGACCCAATTGATTGTTTTTTTCTTTTTCCTTTTTCAAGACAAGGTCTCACATAGCCCAGGGTGAACTCACCGTGTAGCTGAGGATGGCCTTGAATTTCTGATGCTCCCAGTGCAGGGTTTACAGGCATGTACCATACACACTATACCTGCTGGTAGGATTCTACTTATTGGGGGCAAAACTAATCTATGGGGAGAAAGGCCAGGGCAATGGT